TGTCGAGAGTCAGTGGTACTCCCTATGATTATGGAAATCTGATGAGCTAGGTCAAATGTAGATGATCCAGTGTCAATATTACAGGCATTTTGCATATTTGCACGTGTTTGGGATAGGTTTCAAGTAAGCCACGACAAGAGTTATTATTAAGAGCCAAGGAGAGAAAGGAACAGTAACATTCTAGATCGGAAGGCAAAAGCCAGAACTCCTCGAGGAGATACACTCGTAAACACAGGGACCAAAATCCACTATAATCATACAATAATATGTACCACCACACCAAAACGATCAAGCCCAGTTATGGGGTGATCGGCTGTTGATTTTCAGGTATTGTCAGTATTAGGAACTTTGACATGTCGAGCTCAAACATTGTCACTTACAATCACAACTGGATTCTGGGGTTGCCTTTGCCCTCGTTGATGTGGCGATCATCTTGGTTGTCGTGGTTATCCATGACATGAATGCCGCCCAGGAGCTGGTAATTATTGGTTGGCCTATTGTGACTTGGCCCAGTAGAGAGGGCTGCTCCTAATGCGACGAAAAAGAAGACGTAGGCAATGAAAGTAAATTGCATTGTTTCCTGTCAAGTGAAATTGCAGATGGAGTTTCGCAGTATGACGGCAAGATAAAGGATGCGCAATTGAGCCTGGGTTTCAGAGAGTTGGGGAAGGAGAGACTGGTAAAGAAGATGATATCGGCTACTAAGTGGCTATTGGCACTTATTAAATAGTTATATCGGTTTAATTCCTACAGTAGGCAGAACAGGAAAGCTCCCCCCCCCCCCCCCCCAAATGTGATAAGCCACAGAGTGAATTCACTATGGCTTTGTACACTTATCTGCATTCGAACCAGTTCTGCATCATGACTAGTGACACGTTATTGCAGACTTTTATCCGCTGTTTCTGGCGATAGTCCTCTAGTTCTCAAATCTATGACAAGTGCTGATGGCCTGATGCAGCCAGACACCGTCAAATAGATGAGTACCTGAAGTGCTTTGATTTTTTTTTTTAAAATAAAAAAAAAAAAAAAAAACCTATATTGACAGTAGTTTACGTATCATAACAAAACGGTCAAAAGCTTGTCTGCACGAATACTAAGTACGGAGTACGCTTCGGCAAGGGGCAAAACATATGTTAGAAAGCGCGCCTTGACTTGGCAGGTCACAGGGTTTATTCAAGAATGAAATGTATATTTCCTTTTGGAATGAAGTGTGCAGGAGGAGGCTCATGATCCCTCATGAAGTTCACATATCTATCAGCATGATAAAGTTCGAGATTCTATCATTAGCCTTTATGCGTCTGCCAATTTGTAAATTATTTAGCCACACAAATCTGGCCATTGCGTAGTAATATTTGTGCACCTTTGTTGACCTCTCCTACTAGGTATTTAGCTGTCTCTTGGATGGCTATTATTTCGCCCCTAGCTTCAAATGAGTGCTGGCGCAGGAGTCCTCTGCCTAAAGCATATGGGACAGACCTCGACAGTGGCTGTATTTATGTGAGAAGGTCAGTTGATTCCAGGTCAAACCTACCACGGTACTGAGGAAGACCTGCTCTTCAGGGGCCGTGGACAGTATGTGACATGTCTTCCAATCATTGGGCTCATTTGGTGAACCGGATACGCCGAGTCGCTAAGCAATTGCTTAGTGGAGAGGATCTCTGAAGAACTTGATCAATAAAGCATGGCATATATCAATAGTCGTATTGCTAAGCAATCTTTTTGCACACATATTGACCGCAGCTTCGGGAAGCTACCTACTTGACTTTTTCTGAACGGCCTAAAAAATGGATACTTTCCCCTGATGAAGCAGCATGTAAGTGCGCTGGATTAGCACGACACTTCGTAGCCCAAAACTATTCTCAGAAAAATTTGAGATACCATGACATTTGAAAAGCTAATATCTGATGATAAGGGGATTATCTACGACTTAGTGGTGCCTATCAACAATGGGACATATCACAAAGCACATATTGATATGAGATTAATGATGTTTTGACTAACTAAGGAGATCGATAATATATGTTAAATTAGCGAATCACATTAATCTTCAGCTAATGCAGTCATAACTCCTCAGCTGCCACACTAAGAGCCAGCTAGGACAAATAATTCCCGTTCATTGCCATATATCATGGAATTATTCGCCGCATTCTAGGCCGACAAGCAATAACAACGAGTGGAAATTAGCCCTAGGAAAATCCTCAAGTTCAGGACGAGGCAGCTCATCCGAAATGGTTAGTCCTTGTTATTTCTGCGATTTAGTGTTTCTTTAAGCCTCTCCTAAATTTCTTGAAGAATCTGTTTTAGAATGCATAGTCAATCCAAGTTTTATGAATTGTCCAGTCACGAGTCTAGACGGCTCACCGAGGATGAAGAGGACAGTCATTCTGTATCCTACCCGAAAAGGCGATTTCCTTATATATGGAGTCTTCATATTGTTATCTTCTTTTTGTGTTTGTTTATTGCGATGTCAGGATGGATGAGGCACCCAGCTACCCCTACCGACCTTGACTGTGCTACGCAGCTTTCGCCGTACTGTTAGTTTTGTATTCATCTATTCCTCTATATTTTTGAATACTTACCAGCATATATAGCGCCCCTTGCTGGTCTTGTTGAGTACGAGGATATCAGGTTCCAAGGTGATCTGCAGGACGTGAACCCATGGAAAGGAAAACCGAACCCTGCTCTGGATGAGGCATGGGAAAATATCACACATAGTAGGCAAAAGCCTTCTCTAACAATTATGTGTACTAACATCGTATAGTGTGGAATATCCAAGTCTCCGCTGATGACATGCTTCGCATGAAGAAGCCACTGACTCAAGTCAAAGCTCCTCCACATCTCGGCAATGGCTATGTTGGTGGAATTGAAGTTTTCCATCAGGTATGAACGTTTATCACGATATAGGCCTTTTTGGGTAAACTTCTAAATTATACAGCTTCATTGCATCAATCTCATTCGTCAGTACATTTATTATGACTACTACATGCAGCCTGAGAATAAGCCACTCTCATTTCTGACCTCACCAGGGAGACCCCGCGCACACATTGGTAAGGAGCCTTGATTTCTTGATGTCATGCCTAACATGCAGCAGATCATTGCATAGATATATTAAGGCAGGTGATCCAATGTAATGGTGATGCTGGAGTCGTAACAGGAAGTTGGGTAAAGGGCTACAGTAGACCACAGGTTGACTTTAGCACCTGGCACAAGTGTCGTAAGCTTCAGCGTTTTATCGATTATCAGGAAAAGGCTGTGCTAGACTATGAGCCTGTGAAGCCCCTGGATGCTTTCGAGCTTGATGACAGGCCGTGCAAGCATGTCCCCATGGACCAAATATGTCCCTAGCAGTGGTTATAGTTGATTGTAGAATTAAATGATCCTGTGGATTAGAGTATTCTTACTACGTCTGCGGTACGTATCTAATATTGAGTGCGTCATGTTCTTTGGTCTCTTGTAGCCGTATTGTATGTACTATTATATGCCCTGCCCATTTATCCCTATTTTCTTAAACTTATATGCAAAGAATAACTACACACAACACTGGCACTTGGTTTCATCACAATTTAATGGGACTTGGCTCTTCAGACACTTGCATCAGGTCTTGCTTTAATGCAGTAATGACCTTGTACGTACTGAGACAATATGAAGTATCATACGAAGGTAGCAGGTTAGGGTCGCCTACCCAGCGCAAATTGGCCTATATGATGCCTTAATGCCTTAGGCACAACGAGTGGGAGAGAAATCCGCCGATCGACCCTGCGATTGCCCCACAATTTGCCCGTCCCCAACTTGTTCTTCTTTTTGAGTCTCCGGAATAGGACTTCCAGAAGATTTGGAAATTGCCTTGTCCTTCAGGGCCGCGTACTCAATCCAGACGACGGATAAGCCATCTACCGTCCACCATAGGGAGGATTACCGTGCCGTCTCCCCGCAACCTTGAACCTTGATCCACCACTAGTATTTTAGCTGACGGACAACGGTCTGGCAGGCGTTACTCCTTGGGCTTTATTCTCTTACAAGTGGTTGGGCTGTCTAGTCTGGACTTATGACTGTGCTTACCAGGTTTCTGGAATTGCCGCAGCAATTGATCTCTTCCACACTATTCTTTGGCATCTGCAGCAAGGCATCTCAATACAAAGGCCAATGGACCGTCAACACTTCAAGGATAGGGTCAAGGCTGACGCAACCAGCCAGAATGTACCTCGGGCACTGATAAAGTGCCCTGTATGCCTGGAACGCTGATCAGGAACATGGTTGCGATTATTCGCTCCGATTGGCGGCTGAATTAACCATGACCCATGCCTACTCCGAAGGACGACTCCAGACCCATGGCTCTCCACGTTTGTGATTGCGCTTACATGGGCAAGGAAATTTACTCCCTCAAGACCCTGACTTTGTCAGTATGCATCACACAGAGAATGTTTCATGGGCTCATCTGGGGTAAATTGGCTAATCAACATCATACAGCGACTGGTGGTGCCATGACGGACGTGTCGAATAAGGCTGGGTCAGTTCCCTGGGTCTAACGGTTCGGCCTCATTTTTGGGAGCATCGATCAATTTCTGTCTTGGACTAAAACCCCGAGCCCGCCAGTGTTTCAAGATCCCTGCGATTTAGAGTTGGGCATCTGAGCAGACACAGCAACCGACTCCGAAGCCAAACTTGCTCATGAAGCGGATTGATGTTGGTTCTGTCCCGCCATAGTAAGATGCCGCTTGCATCATCTGGGAACGCGTGCTCAATCCCATTGCAAAACCTGGTTCATCGATGATCTCATCCGATCAACCCTCACGGACGGCATGTTGAGCCCCTATGCCTATCAGCATATCACCTCTTCGCGAGCGTCACCCACCGGCAGACATATAAAGGATCCTCGTGGTCCACGTCCCCTACCCACTGTCTATCAGGCTTCATCGCTTCCTTTCCTTCAAATTTGATAGTCGCAGCTCTCGGGCTCTTCATACTTTCTTTCCACAACACTTAGGATAACAAATACTGCAATGAAATTCCAACACGTCGCACCGGTGTGCCTTGCGGGCTGTGCCCTGGCCTTGCCGACTCCGGTCGAGAAGAGACAGGATCTCTCCGACCTCCTTCCGTTCCCTATCCCAAGCGGTCTAATTCCGACTGGCCTCTCCCTCCCATCTGGTCTCTCCCTCCCTTCAGGCCTCCCCAGCTTCTCTCTGCCTACGGATCTGTCCGACCTAGGCTTGAAGCGCCGGGACGTGCCCTTCTCTTTGCCCTCTGGTGCTGCACTCCCTACAGACTCCCCGGGACTGTCTCAGCTACTGCCATCTGGTCTTCCCGACCTGTCCGGCCTCGGCATCACCCTTCCCACCGGGCTTCCATTTGAGAAGCGCCAATTCGGCGGTGGTGGGGGGCCTGAAGGCGGATCATCTGGTGGTCCATCCTTCGGCGGCGGCGACTCCGGCTCATCCTCCAGTCCCTTCGGTGGCCTATCCGGCTTTGGTGGTGACTCCTCTTCCTCCGACTCCTCCAGCCCCTTCGGAGGCCTACCCGGCCTTGGTGGTAGTGGCTCATCCTCCTCCCAGTCCGGTGGCTCTCCCTCGCCCTCCAGCGGCTCATCCTCCTCCGGTGGAATCCCCGACTTCCTCAACGGCCTCGGAGGCTCTTCCAGCGATTCTTCTAGCTCTGATCAGCCCTCCAGCGGCAGCCCTCTCGGCGGCCTCTCCGGTATCTTTGGCGGGCTCGGAGGCGACTCCTCCCAGTCTTCCAGCGGCCCCTCTAGCTCCTCCCAGCCCTCCAGCAGCGACCCCTTCGGCGGACTCTCCGGTATCTTAGGCTCTCTCGGGGGCGGCTCCAGCTCCTCCTCGTCCGGGGGTGACTCCTCCAGCCCTTCCCAACCCTCCGGCAGCTTCCCTAACCCCTTCAGCGGCTCCTCTTCCTCTTCCTCTTCCTCCGACTCTTCTGCCCCGGCTCAGCCCAGCGGCGACGCCCCCAAGCCCGAAGCAAGCGGCAGTGCCCCCCAGCCCAGCGCCGCCTTCCCAAGCATCAGCCTTCCCGAGCCTACCGGCAGTAGCAGCAGCAGCAGCAGCAGCTCTTCCGACTCCAGCGACAGCGACAGCGACAGCGGCTCTTCATCCTCTGCGTCGGACTCCGAGCCCTCTCTTAGCCTTCCGACTCCGTTGGCGTTCTCGCCCGGTGGTCTGAACCTCCCGGCTCCTTCGTCTAGCTCGGCTGTTCCGACCAGCTCGGCTGTTCCTACTAGTGCGGCTGTGCCGACTGCGCCGTCTTCGTTTAAGCAGTTCTTTGCTTAGAAAGATGGTCGACACGGGTTATACACAGATGGGTGGGTAGAAGTAGGTAGATGGATGATGGGATTAGGTGGATGTGATGATGTCATGCTTGCTGGTCAGGATACGAGGATATGAAATTTACATGGTAGTTCTCTTTGTTGCGATGGTTGTGGTGTGTACCTAAATTGTCAATGAGATGGATGGTCAGTTGCTCGTTTAAGTGTGGTTCATACCGTAGTAGTAATCTGTTCTGTGGATTGATCTTGGCTATTTCAAAACGCATTTGTTTCAGGGAAGTAGCCAAGGTGGAGGAGTGATTAGAACCGTCCTGGCTGTCGGACAGGTGATATATGTGCGGTAATACGAAAGAAAATGGACATTGTGGTACCTCTTAGACCCAATTCATGAATGTTACTCTGTTCTTTTAACCGCAAAATAATAGATTGCCTTTATCACTAGATACTGAGACGAGCACTTGCCCAAAAACAAGCAAGACACAATACCACTGCAGAGGTGTAAACACATGCAGCGTATCCAAAGTGTATTCAAGTAAACACGTCAGTCGCATAACGCATGCTCGCCTTCAAGTGATCAAAGAACTTTTCAACCTCCTCATCATTCACCTCAGGTGGGACATCTTCCTGCTTCGTTTCCAACGCAATCCGACGACGCTCCTTCTTCACATCAACGTAGATATTGTTAAACGCTTGGCGCACAGCCTTGCCTAGTTCCGCGCTTCCACAAACATAGATCCTAGCCCCCTGCTCAAATAGCGAGACAACTTCGTCTCGGTCATTTGTAATCCGGTCCTGGATGTGCTGGGCTACAGAGCCGTCGGAGGGACGGCTGTATGCCCATCTGACGTCGACGATACCCTTGCGAGACCATTCAGCGAGCTCTTCTGCGTGAATGTCGTCCTTGCCTTTGGTGCGGCAGCCGACGTAGAGAATAGCCGGGGCGGGCTTTTCAGTAATAGAGTCGCTTCGGCTGAGGATCTTTTCAGCCCGGTCCATGACAAAACCGCGGAAAGGCCCTAAGCCACTTCCTGCGCAGGCCATGATCATTGACGTGTTCAGGTCGGTGGGGGGCTTGAAGCCTGAGTGGGAGGGACGGACAGCGATGTGAACGCGCTCGTCAGGCTGGAGAATGGAAAGGTAGGTAGAGGCTACGCCCATGTACGGCTCGTCTGTGCCGGAGAGAGAGGGTGCGTTGAGCACGGACACCGTAATTGAGCATTCTGTCGGGTCCGCTAGGGGTGAGGATGAGATAGAGTACTGGCGTACTCGCATGGGCGGGAGCATGGCTAGGAAGTCGCCGAGCGGTAGGCCGATGGAAGGATAACGATCCAAGATGTCCAGCAAGCTGAGGCGTTTGGTGACAACCTCCTCATTGAAGCGGCTAGGACTGTTGGCCATGTATCGCAGCTCGGCCTGGAATTCTTCGTCGGCCACGGCTGCATCTGCCAGAGCAATCAGGTCTCGTTTGGACGCGGGTTGGGACAGTTCAACATAGGAGGAGAGGAGAGCGAAGGCGGAGATAGGGGTGTCAATGGGAATGGCTGACGGTCCGCTTTGGCTCTGGGATGGCTTGCGAACAGTCAAAAAAGCATCCCAAGGCAGTTTGAACCGACGCATTGCTCGACGGACGATGCTCGTTGGGTTCACGGGAAGCACGGCAAGGTAATCACCGCACTGGTAGGTCATGTCGCTTGGAAGCTTGATTCTCACCAGTCGTTTCGCTGAAACGTCGGGTGCTGTTAGGAGTTGGTTCTCAATCACATATCCTTCCTGCAGCTGAAGACCCAAGGTTGTCACTCGCTTTTCTGAGCTGAATTCGACTTGTAGGCCTGAGCTGGCTTTCTTGCCAGCCTGACCCTGAGCTTTGGAGCCAAATTTCGCACTTATGGCAGGCCATAATGCCGACTCACTCCAGTTATCGAAATCAGTAAACATGTCGGCGATGGCGGTATCAACTAATCCAATATCACACAAGCGATTCCCACCATGCTCGCCCACCAGCTCATTGATGGCTTTTGGAATCCGGTAAAAGGTAGCAGTCCAATCATCTTCATACGGTGATCAGCGAGTTACATAGAATAGAAAACACATGAGTGATAAGGGATACTCACGATGTCCACAACCGAATACGGCATAATTTATGCCCTCGAATTCATTATCCTTCGCTCCGCTTAGCCACTCGAAAAAGTGGGCCGCATTGTCAGCGGGTTGGCCTTCATAAGATGCAGCGATGAAAACCACAGGATCTCCTTTCGGAACATTCTCAGTGGCGGAATCTAACGAATTGACCTTGGCACTAAATCCCCATGCGGCTGCATCATCTGCCAATCTCCGAGCCAAAGCCTCGCAGGTTCCGGTGTTACTACCGAAGAAAATGTGCATCGGCTTCATGTCTCCCTCAGGAAGGGCTGCGTCTTTCTTACGTTCCCTGCTAGCTACCTTGGAAGATTCAGGAGGCACGGATCCACTGTTCAAAGCTGACTCCAACGTTATCGGGTCCAGCCCATGCCTGAGAGTAGCTCTCATCTTGAAATCCTGCGGCTTGATAGTGAGTGTCTGTTTGATCCGCAGGTCATAGCTTGGATCATCCAGCTGAAAGTTGAAATTTTGCAACAGCAAAGCAATGGCCAGTAAGCCTTCCTGCCAGGCAAATGGCCGCCCAATACAACCTCGCATGCCATTTCCAAAAGGCTTCCAGGCGTTCCGAGGGAGATTGTTGAAATTCTCATCCAGCATCCTCTCCGGCTTGAAGTCCTCGGCGTCCGCACCGTAGACCTTGGGGTCGCGGTGTAATTTCGGGAGAAGCACCGTGATTGGCTCGTCCTTGTTAAGAACATATTTTCCATTGCCCAAGATCACAGGGTCTTCTTTGTTCTTAGTCGGATGCGCATGGACTTTTATGGCACTCGCCGGGGGGTTAAGGCGTAGTGCTTCTCGCATGACCGCATTGATATACGGCAACTTGGGGAGATCATCCACGGCAATCTTCCGTCGGCCAATCACTCTGTCCACTTCTTCCTGTGCCTTTTTATACGCAGGTGCATTTTTGAGTAGATAATAGAAAACAAAGGACAGCATTCCAGATGTAGTTTCGTGGCCTGAGGGAGAAAAAGGTCAGAACATGATAAATCACAACGACCAAACTCAGACAAAGTACCTACCTGCAATCAAAAAGGTAATCATGTTGTCAATGATTGACTCATCACTGAGGCCCTTCCCTGACTGAGGGTCTCGGCCAAGGATGAGAGCGTTGAGCAGGTCCTTCTTGTCTGATGGATGCTTCCTCCTATCTTCGGTCAAATCCTTCGCCAAATTCCGCATATAAGAAATATCGTTCCAAAAAGAATTGTTATCGCTTGTGGGCAGTTGATTTAACAAAGATGGCCGCTGTGCCCTATAGCTAGCTACCTGCAATCCACCAACCATCGCTTCTACGAAAGGGTGCATGCTATCGTGGTAGAAAGAGTTGAAGCGGGTTCCCATGGCGCAGAGAGCGATGGAGTCGAGAGTTAGGCGGGTGAAATCTTCCGTGACCACAATGGGAGTCTCAGGTCCCTGTCGAGCCCATTTCATGACGAGCTGGTTGGCAATGTCTTGCATCTCTGTGGCAGATTGACAACTCATTAGTCCGATGCAATAGGGGTACAATTGGCGATGGGCTGCTTACCATCGAACATGGCCCTAATAGATAGGGGCCCAAAAGCAGGAATAAGGACACGGTGCGCAAGCGCCCAATTCTCTTCGCCGGGGTACCGGGCTGTGAATAAACCATCGTGAAGAAGATGGCGAAGCTGGCCCAAGCCCCCATCTACCGATTTAGCGAATCGCTCCTCATTGCACGCTTCGTCGACGAGTTCTTGAGTAGAAATCACCACTCTCGACACGCCGAAAGTGGTCAGGCGGTAGATTGGACCTTGGCAGATGCATCACAGTTAGCAGAGATAATCATCTCAATGAGAGGAAGAAAGAGTCAAGGCTAGCTGACTCTGGAGTGAGACGCAAAAGGGATAGAAAAAGCAAAAATGACATTGTGGAGGGGTAAGGGCGGGGTTACCATATTGATCTGCCAGCAACTCAAAGCTTCGGATTGGCATCTCCTGGTCAATATCGTAGACATTTCCCAGAAATGGAACGCCTTTGGGGCCTGGGATAGGAACATGCTTTACGCTGCTCATGATGGTGTCTGGATATGGATTGGTGCCAATTGCACTAGTAGCTCTTGATGGAGAAGATGATTAGTTCTCACAAAAGGTCTGGTGGAACAAACAACACGGGGTTTAAGTTTCTCTCAGCGACCACAGATCACCTGACGGAGACACACTTTGATGATGAGTCGAACTGAACTTGAGAGGGGACAGACACATGCAGAAAGGAGACTTTATACCTCGTAGAATTCTGAAAATATCGCGGTCGGGGGGAACGTATGCCTGATGATGGTGCATAAGTCCAGTGCAGATGAAGTGTCATCATCACTCCACGCCATCATATGCGGAAGGGAATCCCCAGCCCGAAGGCCGCCCGACTGCAGTGCATACCAGGGCAACCATACTTAGTGGCGAACGTCATGGGGCTGATGAGAGTGGATCATGATCCAATGTAGATCAATGAGTCCAGAGGACGGGATCGTAAGTAATGGAGAAACCAGCGCATCTACCGCGGCCTGTAAGCACTAGCGGGAACCTCGGCCAGCCAGAGATGGAGGTTTACTATTCATAGCTGGGGCATGAATTATGATTAGCAAAGGGGGGCATATGATCGGTCCATCGGTATGTCGGACACGGAGATCGGTGACAACGGACCGATGGCTAAGGTTAGTAGATACTCTCGTGACAACTCCAAAGTAAGTAAAAGCAACGATCCATGGATGCTCTCTTTTTATGCCACTTTTGCGTTTCGGTGGATCCCCATGATGCTTGGTATGTGCGTATGATCAGTCATAATCGCCCCACTTTGCTATCTAACTGGTCTCGTGGCGCAATGGTAGCGCATTAGTTTCCGGTACTAGAGGTTGTGCGTTCGAGTCGCACCGGGATCGTTCTTTCCTTTTTGCCATCCGACAGTTGTAATACTTTCTTTTTTGCACCGCATCTCACTCAACAAGCATCCTTGCGTCATTAAATCTCCGTCTTGAACCGTGTTCCCGGTTCACAACCTTATCGCTCTGTCTCGAGGCCTGTCCACCGTGCTGAAGCGGCCGCATATGCGAATGCCCAGAGATAATACACCCATCAATAGTAAAATTAGTAGAGCACCGTAGATGATCGTCGGCGCGCTACAGGACGTGACAGACGGCGGTATGACTCGGTCTGCATCACGATGGAAGCACTATACTACAGAGATAGGCCGACGGGGCTAGTCAGTATATCAGTCAGGGTGCTTAGCTGATTTCGCAAAGACATAGAAGAAATAATCTGCATAGCGCAGAAAGAATCCTTTTAAATGCAAGTTGGTATATATACAAGAGGAAATAAACGCTCGTCCTAGGGCAACAGGACTGAAGAAGATGATGGGAACAATATGAACAAGATCAAGAATAACTCAGTAAAAGTAGGATAGTGCGCCGCTCTCCCGATCATGGTGCTCACTCAATCTGGTTCAAGAACAACTCCAGCGCGACCTTGGCCAGCAAAGCAGGCGCTGGTATGGATTGCTTCGCCGCATTGGTGTGATGGGCACGCAGAAGCTTCATACAAATCCCCACAGAAAGAGGTAAGATTGGCACCCCTGGAACAAAGGTTGGATTTATCGTTTTCGTCATGGACACAGAGGTCATTTTCGAAATGGATACTTCAGCCGGCTAGGAGACTGGCTGGTAGCCCTTATGTTTCCATTCGCTTTGTTTCCACTCGGACTGGAAGTTGTTCATCTCTGTCCGTTCGGAATCCCACTTCGCGTCGTTCAGGGCATGTTCGAGACGGCCCCTCTTGCGCTGCCGCACACAGAAGAAGATGAAACCAGCAAGACAACTGGCTCCGACAGCTGCTACGCCAATGCCGACACCAGCCTTTGCGCCACTTGGTAGCTCGTTCCATTTTTCGGACAGTGACTTCGGAGGAGGCTTGTTAAGCTGTTCCACGGTGGTCGAATTACCACTAGGATTGGAGAGTCAGTATTGTAGGTATAGTGGGAGAAATTGGCTATAGGGAGCTACTTACGACACGACCTTGATGCTCTCCCAGGATCCCGAATGGTCTGAGTACGTATACTCCTTGCCGGTGTGGAAGTCATGCACGCGAACCTTCTCAACTACCATGGTGTACGGGCCAGCCGAGTAATCAATCTCGCCACCTGCCCATACAATGGTACCATGAGGCTGACTGGGATCGCCGGCAGGCCAGATTCCAAAGCGGATGTTGCTGGGGGTCTGGGGGAAGTTCTTGCCACCCACAGCATCTTCATACTTCAGTGTGCGGACCAATTGCTGGTCAATCCACCACTCGACCTTTTCACTCGTCCAGTAGGTGGTATAGTTATGGAATTCCGTGTCGGCATTAGGAACGTAGTGGAAGCCACCCCGGTCGAAAGACGTGTTGTTGCCCTTGCCGAAATAGTTGGACTGTACCTCACTGGTGTTGTATCCCACCCATTCCCAGTCAATCTCGTCCAAGTCATCCGATTGGAGCACCACACTGCTCACTACACCACCACCCTTGGCCATCTTGACATGAGACTCGACAATGCCAAAGAAGATGAAGAAGTTAGATTGCATAGTGGGCGAATCCATCTTTTGGGCGATGGAGAATTCCGCACCCTCATCGGTGATGCCAATATTGCCGTTGGTGACATTCCAGATCGTGTCGTCGAGGGTAGAGTTGAAGTACCAGGTATGATTGGTACCTAAGGCTGCGTCTGCAGGACATGTTGTATTGAGTGGGTTACAGTTGCTGAAAGTCTGAGCGGTAACAAGACTAAGACTGGCTACCAGCAGCGCCAGTACATGAAAGAGTGACATGATGGCAGGCTGTGTTGTCGAGGGTCACCACTCCCCAGAGATCTTGGTTGCAATGAGCGGAGCGACTCGGGTCAAGTTGCGGGTCAAGGATCTCTCCCGAATGTGATAAAACGTAACAGAGGGATCTAAATGGAGAGATCGAACCCTACAATGGCGTTGTCGAATATCCAACTGTTCCCCACAAGAAAAAAAGAGTGACGATTATTGAATGAATGGCAGTGCGATCGAATCGCACGAGGTGTTTGATGCCCACCGGCAAGGGAACGAAGGGGAGCAGGAGAAAGACAGGAACGAGATGAAACGGAGAAGAACAAACGACAGGAGAGGAGAAGAACGAGAGGGTATGACGGTTTTCCTTTCAATTAATTTAGAGCCATGGCATCCAACCCACACATGGGCGTTGGCAAACACTTTGCTTTCCCTTTTTTTCGTCCCCTCATCACTAATATCCGAGTCATGCTTATTTTTAAACCAGCATGTCTCTCTTTTTTCTTTCCCTACATTGGATGTCACTAGTTCGGCCCTAAACATTAAGGGGCACTTTTGAAACAGGAAACTGCCCGACCAAGAGGGTATGGCTAAACGGTATTGGGCCTAGCGGGCTGCCGATCCACTCTGGTTTGGCCACTAGCGTGGTCCCTGACCCTGACGCTAGTCTGATCTGGAAAGGGTCGCTTGTACCCGCCAAGACCCTGCCGCGATGGGCGATAAGCAACGCTCAGGCACCCAAATCCAATCAGCTCAGGGGAGCGTCGTTGGATCTTCCTGAAGATTAAATGAGTTTGTGTTAGTATGGGTTAGTCTGATTTGATCCGGGCCAGAGATAACAATTGCCACTGTGCGGGATTCGGGGAAGGGTCCTGCCAACAATTCATCAGGCTGACACCCACAGTGTAAAGCCTCTGTTCCCTACACTCTTCATTAATAACAAGGGTCAAATTTGACCTTGCTTCGGAAGCATCCCAGGCACCAACATCCTGCACCTGGCCAAGACCCTTGGCCTGTCGAAGCCAAAGGCAGTCTCAGCAGGCGAATTACTAGTGGCGGGGCCGGCTGGGGAAGGTCTCAGCACAAGGCCAGTGCTGTGGCAGTGGCTGGTGGATGCCATTGAACAGTGGACACCACTGCGGCAAATTTTAGGTCCGTTAAATGGGATGGTAATTTTGGAGTCAGGAGCCAGTAGAGACACCGCAACCTCCCGCAAGGTTCGCCTCCTTGTGGATATAATAGGCGAACCATAATTCTTCACCCTACAAAGATTAAGATATGAGGATCAGCAGGAGGTCTCGGTGCTGCAGAGGCAGAACATGCAGATACAAGGAGCGTTTTCAAGGTGAGGTTGCAGACCGCTACCTACCAACTTATGCAGAGCGTGCAGTTTCGGATTTGCCAAGCATTCTTTTACCCACTGCCAACAGCCGTTCGGATGAGCGCGAGGCCAAGATGCCGAACTGCAAAGAGGGTGCCTGACCTCGTATACTGTTAGACGCCATCATCAGGCAAGTTATGCGCTGTCCCGTTACCCTTGTGTTTAGTAGATTGTTGTACCTCGTTCGGTAGATTGTCGGCCCATGACTAGTGGGGAAAACTTACAGCCCCCTTTTTGGGGGCTTAGTACCCGTCCACTGCTGTCAACAGTCCAAAGTAGATCCGCCATAATTTTGGGGCACATGACGAGGGAGCTCTGAGTGAACTGGGGTATAGTTGACTATAATTGCGGCTGTTTTCTCGTTTCATCTGTCTTGTTGTGATGTAAGGAAAAATTATTAAGCGTCGCCAAACTTGACAATCCATCCAAGCTCTTGTAGAAACTCTCGTACTGCGGCTGGAGTACCGTTATTATATATCCTGACAACAATGGTATCTAGGGGTGCTATTTCCTTTATCTGGGCATCGACCTCCAGGCATATCTTCCGAATGGACTCATTGTTCATCTGGTCATTTGCGACCAGAATGTTGGCAAATTGACCAAAGATGAGCATTTCCAATGTCTTCAAATTGGCACAGCTTTGTCGTAATAGCTGTAATCTTCGCAAGCCATCTGCGAGTCTCGGCTCTCTAGAGGCGCCTGATATGTGCTCGGTGACCGGAAAGTTGATGCATAGATGAGACAAGATCCCGGAATTTTTAGGTCCGATACAGTTTAGGAAGGACTCCAAGAGAGTGCCTGGACGACACGCCGTCTCCATCTCGTGGAAGATGAACCGATTCATACTATACAAAGTCATTCTGGTCTCGTCCGATATTTGTCGGCTGACGTAGGTCAATGCAAGCCATGAGCCGGGTTTTTCGGGTGCAAAAGCTTCCAGTGGACATCCTGGGTCTTGGAAGATGTGAAGTGGATGAGGTAAAACGAGAACTTGTTTGTATATGTTTTTACGTATCTTGATAGGTAAATCCAAGAAATTGAGAGGCAATGGCGATGCTGATATTGTAGGCGTGTCTGCGGTACCTGAACAGGACATGATAAGAAAATATCGAAGCGACTGTGTTTGGTAAGTGAAGCTGTTCGGCAGCTCTTTGAAGCTAAGTATTTCTTTATCAAGCGAAACAAAGAAAGGTTTAGTGTTGCGTGATCTACATTAGTTAGCAGAAATGCAAGGTATTATACTTCTGTGGCATTGGAATCTAGCTACTCACGAATTTGTCAATACATCACCCGGGGATGTGCCATACTCTGCAACTCACTGGAAGATGTAAGCCAGATAATGACGCCCCTCCTTTCACAATTTGGCTTTGGAGGAAAGGAAGAAATGGTCGATAGGAAAGTGACTACAACAAAGGATGGAAGCCATGTGACTTGCGGAAGCGGGGGATGTCAGAGCCCTGCCTCTTTCCGAGAATTCCCAACCCGTGGGATTGCTTCCCTACAATCCATGGTTGCATCAGTCCCACTGGATGCATCTAGATCTATTCTACGGAGAACGAAATGATCAACGAAACATGACAACTTTAAGTAATTTGAGCTTTTTAGTCCCTATGTTGATGCAAAGTTTTCGGCAGAATGTGCTGCCAAACTCACTTCTCAAACAATATATAGTACTCCAAGCCAACCAAAGGATATGGGCATCAGTCGCTTCAATCCAAGGTTTACTGTCATTATTTCCATGGATATAGGACGTAGGTATCCATAGCAATAAAATATTTGATTCTAACGCGCTTAGAGTTTCTAAGTTCTAGGAATCTCCTTTGTCGAGCGGCATTAGATGGGCGCAGACATCTCGCATCTTTAACCCGACCACACATAAACAAAGAAGCGATGATCGACAGTATTCTTGAAACAGCCAGTATATCAATATATAAATTGGTGAACCCAAACTAAGTCGCTGCTGTAGTCAATCTTACAAGAAAGTGCCCCATATACAGAGATGGATGCCATACCGCTTCCCGACCAGGTTTCTGAGCTCTACAATGACCTTCTTTCCCGCTGTGCACCCAATGAGCATAAAGATTGGGGACTCGCCATCACAGCTCTGAAGCTCCTCGCCATTACCCACAGACCATTTAGCATACTAGAGTTGTCTTGGGCCGTGACTCTGCATACCGCTCGCAATGTTAACACCGTTGACGAACTTGCCAAGCTAGTAGACCATAAAAAGCTCATGAGCATGATTCAGCCCTTTATCGCAGGCGTTGAGCTTGATGACTTGAGAAAATACCAAGTCCAGCTCATAGAGAAGTCCTTGAAGGATTTAATCAAGAAGAATTGGGCCACAAAATATTCGAATACAGAATGTCCACACTCCTTGGGAGACGATGGACAAGGATTCAGAAGTCCAGAAGCGTTGATATTGGATATATGTGTGCGGTATCTTCTTTTAGATGAGATAGGCGTCAAACTCGTGTTCTCTGAAGAGCAGATTGCGATTTCGGAGCTTCCGCAAGCGTCCGACTTGTTCAACGACGAGAAAGACCCAGTCAAGTACAATTCTCATTGCTCGTGGGAAGCTTGGGAAGAAGATATGACTCGGTTCAATCCGACTGAGCGTGGATTGGGCGAGTTCTTTGTCTACGCGTCATGCTACTGGCCTGAATATTATCGTCTTGTCACGGCTAAGGCCCTTCCCAGCCTAGCGAGCATCGAAAAGTTGTGTCAAGCCGACTCGAACCGAATTCGCAATTGGACTCAGCAAAACCGTCGTCCAGGCTGTGCGATGCCGCCGAGGTTCCCATTTGACAGCCAGCTATATGATCCCCTCAGTATCACCTGCCTTTATGGCTCTGTAGATATGCTTCATGTCATGCTCAGAGATTCTGATTTCGACAATGGCAATTTCCTCGAGATGACGGCCATGAAGGCAGCAGATCAAATCCTTCAATGGGGAGATATGTCCAGGCTCAGGGCACTTTTTCTGGATCCGAGACTTGGTCATCAGCTACGAAACCTGGACTTTTTTGGCCTAATTATCCGCAGGTGGCGTGAATCGAGTGTCTGTCGACCCGACTGGGAAGATGCTTTTGCGCTAATTGACCTTATGAGAGATCAAATGGCTCAGCAGCAATGGGGATATGAGCTCTGGTGCATTGCTGCCAGTGCAGGCTGCGCGCCCGTTGCTCAGAGGTTACTGTCTGGTGCTCGGCATAACGATGGGCTTAGAAGAGAGCTATTGCGTGAATTTTCACCTATGCCACAAGTGGCACCCTTGAAGTAATATGGTCATGTAGTGATATACTTGCTGGGGGAATTACGACGGACTACATCCATATCTGCCTGCGGCAAGAATATGCCCTTCAATTGACCTTCGACGCCGTATCTCGGAGACGTTCCCTGGTATATCTCCTGGTTTCTGCACGTTTTAGCTAGGGTAGAGCACAAGTACTATATGAAATAGCTTCAGACTTGTCACACATACCACAGGATGGTCAGAGTCAACCACACCCTATTAGAATCTTAATCTTTCTGTTGTATATATCTACGTACTAAGTTGCTGATTTGTAAACCCCACATCTACCCCCAAACAAGAAATTGCAAACAAATTGACGCATTATAACCAATACCCGCACTTCGAAGCTCCTAAAAACGAGGTAAAATGTTTCAAACGGGAAAGTCAAAAGCAAGCGGGTCAAGTAAATCATGCCGGGTACCATCGGCGTAGTTAACGGAACCGGCCCACCTCAAGGTTGAGTCATTCCTTCTAAACACCACCCAAAGCACTCTTCGATAGCTTCAAGTGTGCTACAGACCTAATCTAATTCCATATAGCGTTGTGGCACTCTTTTCGTCGCTTTAGACCACCCTTACTCTTGCCCAACAGGTATTTACCCATATCTCACAAAATGTCTATGCCTAGCGGCCGGGACGAGCAGCAGCCCGTCATATGCGTTTTGTAGGTCAATCCCAAACCTAATGAGCCCAATCCGCCTAAACCTCATAACCAGCAATCTAATCTACTGATTCCAACCAGTTGCGGCGCCCAACCCGGCAATTCACCCGAGTACATAGCCGCCGCTCGCGCACTCGCGCATGAACTGCACGCCGCCAACGCAAAACTAGTCTACGGAGGCGGAACAAAAGGCCTAATGGGCGAGGTGGCAAAGACTCTAGTATCACTATCTGGGCCATCTGCAGTGCATGGCTTCATACCCAAGGCACTGGTAGCACACTATCCCGATGCGGACGTCAGCCGCCAGGCCGAAAGCAAGGCCCAGGAGGATGGGAAACAACCCGAGCGAATGCTTGCCCCAGGGTCTTCACCAGCCGAGGGCGAATACGGGAGAATCACCATCGTGGACAGCATGCACGAGCGAAAACAAAAAATGGCAGAGGAAATTCTCGCCGGTGGTCCTGGGTCAGGGTTTGTAGCCCTTCCGGGCGGTTATGGAACCCTGGAGGAGGTCGCTGAGGTTGTTACGTGGAATCAACTGGGGATTCATGATAGAGGAATTGTTTTGTTGAATGTTAATGGATTTTGGGATGGGCTTGTGACGTGGATTGAAATGGCTGCTCAGCGGGGCTTTGTTGGACAGGCGAACAAGGGTATCATGGTGGAATGTAAGGAGGTGGAGGAGGTTATTGGGGTGCTTAAGGCGTATAAGCCGAGTGGTGGGAGGTTGAACCTTTCTTGGGGGAGTAAGTGAGAATGAAGCGAGAGGTTGGGGGGTAGGCGGTATTTCGAGGGCTGGAGAATAAAGTTAGAATTTGGGGCTTTCCGACAGTTGCCGGCTGCCGGCCAATCAACTTCATCGTGTGCTAACTTCATTATCAATGAGTCTGTCTAGGCTTCTCCTTTTATCCATAGCTTTGTGTGAGCTTCGGTATAAAGCAAAAGGAAAGGCATAACTATTTCGTTATGCTAATGTAATACACTTGCCTGCTAAACCGCATGGCCTCCATGTTCCGCCTCTTCCTTCATTCCAAACCCTTCAAGTTCCTTCAGGATTGCTACTTTAATATCATCAGAGGCCCAACAAATTTCAATGGCATTTCGTTGTAGCTGGACGAACTCCGCATCAGTGAAATTGCCCAGTACACGAAGCAGGTAAAGACTGTTGTTCAGCCAAATATCCTCCATATATGACGGGTCATCACTGCCAATGGCTATTCTGATGCCAGCGTTGAACAACTTGCGAACCCGATCAATAATCTGAGCCTCTCCAGAGTAGCACAGATAACCCCACGGACAAATCGTCATTCCAAGGTCCTTTTCTTTGACCCTCTGAAGAAGAAAAGAATCGTCGGCGGCATGTAATCCATGATCAATCCTGTCCGCTCCGCTTCCTCCCAGCTGGTCAACCACTTGGCCAATGTTCCTTATTGTATCCTTATCGCCGACGTCGCAATGGCAGGTAATTTTGAAACCATCTTTGCGAGCGCGGAGAAAAACGTCTTCAAAGAGCAATGGCGGACGGTCCACCTCTAGAGAGTCCAGTCCGATTCCGACGATCATGTCGCGATATGGTAGTGCCTGGAGATAATGCTCCATAGCAGATTCCGGGGACATGTCTCGCAACATGCACATTATCCATTGAGAGTGGACCTATGACAATTCTCAGTGGGGATCATAGGACATAAGGAAGGGTCTTAACCACCTACCCCAAGATCCCGAAAAGCCTCACTCTGCGCCCTCTTAAACCCATCCATCATTGTCTTGAAAGGAACACCTCTCCGTGTATGACCCTGCGGATCAAAAAACGGCTCACAGTAACGGACATTCATGGAATCAGCCTTCCTGAAGTAATTCATTGCCAGGCGATAAAAGTCCTCTTCACCCTGGAGGACACTGAAACCACCGTAATACAGTTCAAAGAATCGCTGCATTCCGCCATTTACACCCCCTGCATCCAAGTCATTGAGGAGCTCATACGTACCCTTTAGCTCCGATAGACTCTCGCAAGGCTGCTGGGTATTGATATTGAGAACTGACTCTCCGCGCCGTTGCGCGAGCTCCCACCGGAGTTCGGGTGTCATTGTGCCCTCGATATGGACATGCATTTCGACTTTAGGCATGTCTTTGATAAACTTGTCATTGTGCTGGTGGATTGCGCTTCGATATTCTCGCAGAGCTTGGTTTGATAGAATGGATGTGTTTGAGGCCATGATAGATAGAGCGGAAGATACGACTCCGGTTGTTGACTTGGAATTGGGAAGCAAATGGATTGAACGTCGTTCATCTATCTTTTAAAGCTTGGGGGATAACCCTCTTAGGAGCGTGTCATATCGATCGGACGCCTGAAAAGCGGGGTTTCTGCCAACTAGCAATGATTGGGCGCGGGGTTACGATGTAATACTTCCACTGAGTAGTAGATTGTCATGTCTGACTGCAGATTGATTGGAGCGTTCCGAAAACCTTGCATCTTCTTCGAAATACCACCGATGTCCCCGTACCTTATCTCCGTCCACCCTGGCCACCAATTGTAATCTTAAGATAGGCTTAGCCTTCCGTCCCATGGTTTATATGCTCTGCATATTTTGATAATCAGATATATCTTAAGTGAGGTTAGTGCAACATAATTATTGTTTAGTACTATATTAAAGATAATGGATAATAGCAAGTACATTCCTCTGAAATTCTGGATCGCAGCCAGCTTGTACTTTACCCTAATGTTTGAGTACGTCCCAAATCCGCGAGATTCTTACACTATTATTATATCGTAGTATCTTTCTATTTCTATCTACTATATTCAGCGCACGTTCCTTTACTGATTCCTCTTCTAAGGAAGGGTACAAATTGGCCTAGATCATATCGAGTCACCAACTCCCAATCCCACTCATATACCCCAGTCATCATCCACATATCGCTATACTATATACTAAGCCCCCTCGAATACATCGCAAATCATCAAATCAAAACCACAAATATTATTACTCAATATAACACATACCCCATAAATCATAGCTCATTATACTCCCTTACCAACAGAAAACACATACACCATCCCATCCCATCCCATCCCACCCTAATCTTCCAACCCAACCACTCCACTACTGATACAAAATCAAGAAAGATACACCTTCGTCGGCCTCCTCACCGACGACCCCCCACCATGCCCGGACGGATGCTTCTCGAGATAATAAACTGTGGGACTACTATGGCGCCGTCTTCTTCTCCGCGTTGTCGAGGTAGCCAAGTTCGCCTCACCGTAATCCGATTCCCCACTTGAACTAGACCCTGGTAGGGAACACAGATGCCATAGCCATAGAATGAGCAAGGTGCCTGCGATAGTGCCGAGGACGATGCCTGCGATGCCTCCGCCGGAGATGGTGTTAGGGCAGTCGGGGTCGGCGCGGGCGGAAAGGAGATTATTAGTGTTGGTGTTTGTTTGGTGGAGGGGTAGTGGTGGTGTTATTGGGGCCTGGGGTTGTGTTAGTGATTATTTGATGGTGGTTGTAGATGTTGGATAGAGTGGTGGTTGGTTCGGATGAGACCCGCTTTTTTTTTTTTTAATCTTATGGCTGAAATGATGGGGTTCGTTCATCCATGGATGAGTGGTGGGTGGTACATACCATGGTTATTAGATTAATGGATTATGGTCAATTAATAATATTGAAGGAGAAAAGGAATGGTAGAGATTCGATGGGTAGATTTTTTACTGAATTGACGGAAATGAGGGCGATATCCATCATATAACAATTACTCGCATCTTTCTACAGTGTGCGGGAATATCTTTCCGTTGACGTCAACCACACGTCTTTGTCCCGACGATGCCAAACGAAGCAGCGATTGTCCGTTCCACCACGGCCCGGATTTCTTGTTCTTGATTTTTGATTCAGTTACGACGCGTGGAACTCTGCCAATGACTGTCCGTGGAAGAGTCAATTGGGTTTGGTGTGCCGTGTGTTGAGGGTGCGGGGTATGGCTATCATTGGTGAGGGTTTGTCGGCGTCATTGTTGCAATTCTTGGTTTGGAGGCTTGCGGAAGTAATTGCCGGTTGGGAAATAATGGGGCTACTGTTTTGTAGAACGGGATAGCCGAGGTATGGGTAATTGCTTAAGTCACAGTGTGCATGTGCATTGCTCACTATTAGTGGTGGCTATTGACTAGAACTGGGTGACTAGCTTGCGCTGCCTGTCCTTCATATGCTCCGATGCCCCGGTGAGGGCGGCACACTGCCAGTATCCCAGGCTGTCATGTCTGCGCCTAGCTCAAACTCAATGGTACCGCCTTGGGTCATGACATCCTCGTGCTCGAACCAGTTCTTCGTCCAGGCTTGTCCGTTGATTTTCACGCTTTGCACATAATAGCCCTTGTCCAGTCCGTTCGCGATGATGCGGAGTGTTTGATTGCCATTGACGGTCATGTTAAGGTCTGGAAACCAGGGCGAAGCGAGAAGATAGACTGGTTGTGTGACGACCGGATAGATCCCCAGCATCTGCCACAAGAGCCACGAGTTCATCGCCCCGGCGTCACTGTTTCCTGGGACCCCATAGGCTTCATCTCGAAAGCTATTTGATATCAGTTGCTGTGAAATTAGGAGTATATAAGCTCACTTACTACTGATACCCTAGATTCCGCGACTTTTCCACGCTTTTGGCTTGCTTGTTGATGTAATTGTATAAGTACGGAGTCGCAAAGTCGGGTTCGTTCCTTTCAACTGCTCAGTCATCACCCATGTGGCTATATATCAGAATACCTACCCAATGTTTATGATTGTCGTAATACCTGCCCCATTTGCCCCAAGGTTCTGGACTGACATGTTCGGCTCAAACTAGAAATTGTTAGCTGTACGCCTAAACCTAGAGTTGTCATCTGGGTAAGTACCATCATATCCAGTCGGGATTCAAATGTATCTGCACCACCCGTAAAGTCGATCAGGGTTTCCATGTCATGCGGTAGCACAAACGAGTATTCTAGAACATTATACTTGTCAGACCAATTCATAGATTGCGAATGGCGACCTACCCCAAGGAACGCCTTCATACGTATATGCGAGCCATTCACATCCGTAGCAGTAACGAGGATCATAGCCACTGTTGTTAAACGAGCCGTTCGAAAATTTGGGCGCCAAAAAGCCACTAAAGTTCAGACTCTGCACATCCGGGTTCCAGATATATTGCCATCCAGCAGACCGGTTCAAATCCTTTTCTTGGTCGCTATGCTCTTCCCCTGCGGCCACTTGGCTGACCGCAAAGTCGTTGAGACTATACTCCACGGTCCTAGAAATGCAGCGCGTGTTGCGATCTTGCGAGACATATCCCAGTTCCAACCAGTCACCCAGGGCTCCACGGCCTTCTTTTGTACTTGCGGAAAGATCAGTAGCGTCCCAAGTGTTGTATGGAATAACCTCAGCATTCGTCTTCATCGCTGCGTAGCCATCTGTCCAATTGATTGCGCCTCGCAGACCCTTCACATAGGCATCTGCTAGCATATTGTCCGCATCAGAGCCGCCTTGAACCAGCCCGTTCCAGTTCCCTGAGCGGCCGTCTGGTAGGAACCCTTGAAATCTAAGGATAGATTAGCGTTTTATATGTCACTTTCGATTTTGAATGGTTTACCACGTACCTCCAAATGTCGATAAGCCCCCGAATCATGGACTCATAGTAGGTGGGCTGGTAGACGTGATAGAAGCTGACTGTGCAGCGGAAAATATCCCCTAAGTATAGTCAGTACCACTCTCCAGTTGCCGCGCGAAGCATTTCACACTACTGACAAAGCGTGTAGAAGTCATCCCAAAAAGGTTCATCTGACTGCCACAGAGGGTTTTCACCGGTGCGGTCGGATGGCATCAAGTGGATAAAGTAGAGAGAACTATAAAGTAGTCGCACATTTGTCATATTCGCCGTGCTGTCGAGAGATACTTGAGTCTTGCTGAATACATCCTGGTTCCATTCGTCAACAGCAGATTGCACGGTATCGTTCAGTGTCCAAGAAGGAATTTCCGATGTGATGTATGAGCGAGCCTTGTCTGTGGAGATGAAAGATATACCAACTCGAGAGCTGATCTGTATATCTGCTTCAGCGTCCCAGCTGAAGAGCGCCCCGATACGGTCATTCATAGGGCCAGATGTCGCTTTATCGGTGATATTGCCATATCTTGGTTGAGGTATGCCTCCGTTTGCCAGATTCTGATAACGTGGCATCGGATCTGTGTTAGTCCCGGTAAAAGTACGAGCATTTGTCGGTGTCGTAGAGAACTCGCCATAGAAATAGACGGTAAAGGGGGCGCCTTAAAATCCTATTAGAATGCATGCGCGGTGCTACGGAGTGAAGTGCGGACCATTGTTCCAGCCACCGACATATGTTCCATAACCGGTATATGCTTTTCCATTATCTTCAATATTGATCTCACCACCGACGTAAAACTGCCCATTAGAATCGCCGGGTGATCCGGGAAGATACTTTAGCCATGTTAGCTTCTTCCTTGTATTCTGAGTGTGGAGAGTCATACGTGGGATATATCAACTAAAACGTGCTTCTCTCCTTCAGGGAAAGAATACTGAAAGATACCAGCATGTCGACTAGCTGAGAGTTCAATCTGCACACCATTCTGAAGCAAGGTCCTGAAATATCCTACGCTTGCGGAGTCATTGCCAACCTACATTCTGTGAGCTAGGACAAATGAATGTCAAGGACAGGGTTTTTATACCCTGGGCTGGCTATAAGTCAGGTTGTCTAACAGATTTACCGGCGACTCAACAGAGGTAAGAGGCATCTGTGGAATAAGACCATACTTGGGGGCACCTCCGGTGCCGCTCTCATGCATCATGGCTAGTAGATGGAGAGATTAGGCACAGATCCCAAATATGCAAAGCAGTCCCAAAGAGATATAAACATACTGACTGCGGTGACATTCCCATCAGGTGTCCAGCCACCGTTTAGAACAGCGAGACTCCAGTTTGCGGCTGTTGTATCGATTCCCACCTTTACTACTCCAAAGGGTCGAGCACTACCAACGAAGATATCACCCCCTCCGTAACCCTGACCCGGAGTTGGGCCTTCCGATCCCATGAAAGGATTAACATATTGAGAATAATCCGCTTGAGTGGCGGAGATAAGCTCTAACACTCCAACGACAAGAAGAAGCAACAGCTGGTTTGGAACGCGCATGTTTGCAGCTCGCATGGTAAAGCACGAATAGAGGACGCTTCAAGAGATCGACAAAGTGAGGGGGAAAGCTTATAAACAAGAGATCTTCTTGGTTATTTAGATTCATGGAAATCTGCCATTTCCCCGCGGGGATGATCAGTGCGGAGTCGGCTGCAGCTCATCCCTGGCAGGAATAATTCCACGACACATTGCATAGCGACTGCAGGAATGTTGTTTATATTTCGTTGGCTTATGACCCCTCTTGCTGCCGCACTAGGGCCCCCGCATACTTATGAATGCTTTGACTGTCCCAGTTCTCGCATTCTCCGTTTTCTCCTTTTCTTCTTCACGCGGACACCTGTAATTGTGGTAGACGTGTTTCCCAGGTAAATTCCCATGAGTGCGATCCAAATGAAGTCATGCCAGACGAGGTACAGCCTCGGGTCAAATGAACCAACAATGGATAGCGTGCCATTGCAAAAGTTTGGTTAAAGTCAGTGGTTGAAGAGGGGAAGGCATGACCCCACGTGGGAAGGGGACGTGTTTGTACATTCAACAAACATGAAAGTCATCAGTCATTGGATCCATGACACTCTTTGGATACCATTCAGCCTTTACATCGTCAATACTCAGTGACAAAAAGTAGTTGAAACGAAGAAGGATATCTGGTAGGGCTTTGTGAACAATTACTAAGCGGCACGGTCGGAGTATTCGGAGTCCAGATCGATTCAGTCGAACCATCTTCATCCACTGCCCCCTTAGTTCGCCCGTCAAGGTGACAGAATGACAATAGCATCATGTTTCAGTGCTCGCAGTGCAACAAATCTTATCAGAGAAAGAGCCACTTGCTTCGACATGAAATAACACGTTAGGCCCCTGAACATCATGCCGCCTCAGGTACGCGGAACATGCTGACAACCCGACAGATACCGGCGCCTCCCATTCAAGCTGCCCTTTCTGCAATAAATCCTTCTTGAAGAAGTGCGTAAACCCCGCGATACCTCTGAATGAAGCCATTCTAATCCGATGCACGTCAAGGGAGGTTGCACGAAGGCATAGTAAGATATGTGCCAAAAAGCACAACCAGCCTCCTCCGGCAGCAGCTAAACCCGGGAGGAAGAAGCAGTCCTGTGACGAATGCTTCTTTGCGAAGACAGCCTGCGACAGGGCATCACCATGCTCTCGTTGCCAATCCCTTGGGAAACAATGTTCCTTTGGGGTTCAGACCCCTTCAACAGAGAACACTTCCTCAATGTCTCCATCGCCCTCGCCATCTCTCTCGCAGACTCCGCAAAGAAGAAACGACCCATTTTTCTTCCTAGCACACTTCACTGATCCCGCTGTTAAGCAAGACAAACTTGCAATTGCAGAAACAGCCAAATCTTCAACTAGAAGGCATCTTGACCCGGCATACTTCCGACAGGAAGAACCACTCTTGCCCCACGACTCCTTGTCGGCTTACATGCCAGGCTTTTCGGGTGGTGATCTATTCCTTCAGCCTTTCTTCACCCCAACTGGGCATCTTTCTATGGAGTTTATGCCTGAAAGTGCATTATCTTCAACGATTTCCCACAGGCTCGGCGAGATGATGATGATTCTTGTCGAGACTTCAAATTCTATGGGCCAGGGCCAACAAGCCCAGCTCGAAATGGCGGAACTGAACTCGCTTTTCACGACCTCCAACCTTTCGGTGTTTATTTCGGCTTACTTTCAGTCTCTTCATTGGCACCTTCCAATTGTACATTTTCCGACCTTTGATCCTGTAATAATCTCGAACCCTCTTCTCCTTGCAATATTCTTGGCTGGAGCAACATATGCTACCTCGCAAGATGGCCCAGTATTTGCAAGTAGAGTACTGGACGTAGCTGAGGAGTATATCTTCCGTCAGTTGGCTAATTTATCATCAAACCCTCACCCTACCAGCGCTCCCTATCTCCTACCTTCAGTGGAAGTTATTCAGGGAGCTTTGATCATCGAGATGCTTCAGTTTGGGCAGGGCGAAACGGGTACAAGACGACGCATTCGCATAATTAGACATCCGTGTGTCGTTTCCACGGTACGATCGTTGGGGATTCTTCAGTTCAAGCGAAGTATGACACCAGATATGTGTAACGATGAGACATGGAGAGCAATGATAGCCGAGGAAGTTTGTATAAGGTAGGACCCTACCTGTTGAGCATCAATATTGGGCACTTCTCACCAATCTTCAGAATCGCCTGTTGGGCCTTTCTCGCGGATGGATTCCTCACAGTTTGTTTCAACAATCACCCTGCATTGTCGATATTCGAGATGGACTGTCAATTCCCTTGGAGTTCCGCTCTATTTGAAGCTGAAAATGCATCATCTTTCAACGAGATCGCCGCTTCTTATACGGCGGGGCGCCCGCTACCTTCGTTAAGGGAGTTCATTACGCGTCTGCTTGATGACAATGCAACGGATGACCTGATTCAATGGAGTCGCTCACTAGTTGGCGAACATCTGTTGATCCTGATATATGGTTTGTATAACCGTCCCCATGCAACACAATCGAGCTAATCATGCCCCAAGCAATGCACTCTCTCGCGTTTCAAGCTAGAACCGGCTTGTTCGGGTGGATATCCACGAACTCGATAAAACGGGCCGCCGACAATTGGCGAAGCATTTGGGACTCCGTCTCCAGCATTGTGGGTAAAGAAGGGATGCACCACTTGGGGTATCCTAAGCATGCTGAGGAGCTCTGGTGGCTATTGACTGCTACGCTTGATCGCGCCAGTGGGCGGAACGTGAACTTTCGATACCTGGACAACGCCGCAACCGACGACCTAGAAAGCTTGAACAACTTCATCCGGAATATCAAAGGTCCCAATAGGACATAGTTCATATGTTTTGTCTAACAATATGTACAGGCGAGGGGCTTCTCTATCCATTATTAACATAAATATTACAAGGTTAGGCTCAATGACCGGCTTTCCCGACCGGCGGTATGGACTCTAGTCATCGGAGCAGTGCTGCGCCCCTGTAGGCGAGCGATCTTATGCGCGTGCATCCTACTGACTCTTGACGATCTTGAACTCGTCGCCGCGGGCTTTCCGATAGGTTCCTCCAACACGATCCCAGAACGTTGTGAACTGCCCATAGTTATAATTGAAGTACAGGTGGTGCAGGGTGTGGCATTCGGGGCCATTGATGATAGCAGAATGAGAAAGACAGTCGGCGTCGTCTGGATGCGATTAGTGGGAGACACCCGACAAAGGGAGGCACTTACGGATCAAAACCGTCCACAGTGTGACGAAAACAAACAAGCCCAGATATGCACCCTTCTGCAATGGGAACAGTATCGGATAGACGTGGTACGGGAGACTCTGCGCCCACCCGTCCAATGGGTTGAACGCGAAACTCGCATAAGGTGTCGGCACGAGCCACTTGTGATGTCTCTTGTGCAACCACCGATATACCAAAGGGTGATGCTCCGCTCTATGAATCCAATAAATGCCGGAATCTGTGAATGCCACGAACAGAGGGTACTGGAGCCAATTGTACGCAGGGAACGGAGCTTCACTGGCGAAATCGTACAGCTTAGACCACCCGCGAATCTCTGCTAGGAAGAACGGGACCGTGAGGATAGCCATTATCGGGATGGAGAATAGGGCTTGCTCGATTTCCAGACGGACTTGATTCTTCAGGAACCGTGGATGTTTGAGCAAGGTCTTGTCCCACCATGTGTGGTAGAAGATGGTGCTGCCGATGAAATATATTGCTAGACCGAAGAGCCTAGTTGTGTAACGAATGTGCTGTCAGCTGGACCATGCTCGATTGACTTCAGGGAAGAGCATGAACAATATTACCATGTGATGAACAACAATGAGGTAGCTTGTCTCGGCAGGTCATCGCGCTTCCAGCGACTGGCGGTCGCCCATTGAGAGGGTTGAAGAGGGTAGTAACGGCCAACATGTTGATTTAGGAAGAACGATGTATCGAAATCCGAGGTACTATTCCCACCAGGCAGGACTGACGCGTACACTCTATCGAGGACGAATGTGTCGAGGACATCGAGCACGACATCCATCGCGAGTGAAGGTGTCTGGTAGGACCCGGGGATATCGTTAGGGCTGTTTAGGGTATTCTGGTTGCGCCCAGAAAATGCGACTGCTGCTTGGGGCGAAGGAAGAGCAAATTTGCGATCGATTGTTCATACAACTCCGTACTAGATATCACACGCAGAAGCTACTACTGTGTTGATTGTTACCCCCGTCATCTTATATACGCGGCGAATCCCTACCACGGGATATACCTACCACGGGGTAAACCTACACGGGGGCGATTCCCTACTAACAAAATACACTGACGACACGGGCTATCCCTACCAACACCGACATGATCCCACCACGGGAGTGGGAGATCCATTTCCCCCGGCGAGACCGATTCCGGGGGCACGTGGAGTTTGGTACATCTTAAGAAACAAAGTATATCATACGACTACCAGATCAGCCACTAATGCTTAGTTCCAAGTCTTATTGACTGAAGATTAGTAAAACTGCGATGGATGGAATAAAATAATGCCAATTGCAGATGCATCGGACAAATTAACCGAGTTGGGGTTGGTTCCGACGGCCGGGCAGCCGCACAGCGAGACAATCGAAAAATCCCACCAAAAGCAAGTCGGGCCAGCCAAACCTCGAGTCCATCCATTCCGTTGCTCTCATTCTATCCCCTCGTTCTGCTTCCCTCCCTCTCCTCCTCCACCCACCCACGCCTTCCCCTCTTCTTCCCCCGACTCATTCATTCTCCTTAACTCCGTCAAGATGGGTGTCACCTTCGACAAGTGCGAGACCCGCCCGGCCAACATTGACGCCATCCTCAATGGCCTCGACCGCTACAACCCCGAGACCACCACTGTCTTCCAGGACTATGTCGCCCAGCAGTGCGAGGACCGCACCTTCGACTGCTACGCCAACCTGGCCTTGCTGAAGCTGTGAGTTCATGCGCCTCTCTGTCCAACCCAAAATACATTCAGCCGAAACAAAAAGAGCTCCGACGCGGGGAACCTATCTGGTTTTATGTGATGAAGAATCTTATATCATTATCACGTTTCCTATTACCTGACACCCTACTTTGGGGGATGTCGAGACTCAATTCTCCTGAAACAAAACCATTCATTCGACTTTTACTCTATCGCATATACATCATACCTAGAGAGAGATGCTAACCCCTTCACGCCCTCTGGCAGGTACCAGTTTAACCCCCACCTTCTCCAGGCGGAGACCGTCACCAACGTCCTCGTCAAGGCCCTGACTGTCTTTCCCTCTCCCGCTTTCTCCCTCTGCCTTGCTCTCCTCCCCGCCCACACTCAGCCCTTCCAGGCCTCCGACGCTGAGGCCCAGGCCGCCGCCCAGACCTCCGACTTCGTCGAGTCGATCCAGAAGCTCGCCCGTCTCTCCACCCTCCTTGAGTCTGCTCAGTACACCCAGTTCTGGTCCACCCTGAACTCGGACGACCTGTACGCCGACCTTGTTGCCGACGTTGCCGGCTTCGAGGAGCTCGTGCGCATCCGCATTGCCGTCGAGGTCGGCAAGACCTTCCGTGAGATCCCTGCCGAGGTTCTGGAGCAGTGGCTCGACCTGCGCAGCCGCGAGGCTCTCGAGAAGTTCGTCGCCGAGGTCTGCAGCTGGGAGGTTGACAAGTCTGGCGCCAACACCGTGATCAAGGTGCCCACCAACAAGGAGAACGAGGCCCGCAGCGAGGTCAAGAGCGAGCGTGTCGGTGTTGACATGTTCGGCCGTGTCATTCGCCGGGGTTTCGAGCAGGCTGCATGAGCGGATCTCAACGATAAATAGATATCCGCATCGCAACGCAGCCTTTATCGTTCTAGATTCCCTTTCTATTCTTGCTAATATTTTGCCTCGAACGAAGATCAGGCCTTCCCTCAGGTCTCGATCTCGGTCTGTCTTGTTTGGAAGAATGACCACCCGAAAAGAAAAGTTTCAAAAGAAGAACACGGGACGAAGTGTCTGCTTCGGATACCCCCCATGACACGAGCTCGGAGCCTCTTATAACATAACAAAAAAAGATGATGATGACGGGGATAGACCAGCATGGGAGAGGGTTGGGAAGTCCGGACCTGGCGCAATTGGCGTTTCGAGTTTTGCTTCTGCATGACTAGGTTGTGTTTTATCATCATCATCATCTTTTTCTCTCTTTCCTCTTCCATCTTATTTCCTATATCATTTTTCTCCTTGATTATCCTCTCACCATATTTCTCTCTACGTGAAAAGATAACGCAATTTCACCGAAGATATCCACATTGTGCGTATGCACAAAAAGCGATCAGTACCAGTACAGTGCAATCTTCATAAAATCATGACCAGCGATGTAACAGACAACCAGTAGTAGTAGTAGTAGTAGTAGTAGTAGTAGTATTGTATGTACTTTTAATTTCCAAACCAAACCTAAACAAAAAGAACACAAGTCTATATATGATATATATGTCATCAACATCAAGTCTTGAACGGACATTACGCTTCACAGGTCAAATCCGTAACCCATCATCATCCTCATCACCATTCTATTTCGCCTGTTCCTCCCACTGCACACCAGCCCACTCCTCTCTATAACCGACAACACCGACCTCCTTCGGTCCACAATCCTTCCCACAAACTCCCAAGATAATAGTCCCCCACTCCATACCAGCATCATCCTTGGGCCCAAGCCCCACCCCCTCCCTCCCATCCTCCAACACACTGATAACATGAGGCACAAGCTGCAACTCAAACACGCGCTCACTACCACAATACTCACAGCGAGGCATGCGGCTCCCTCCACCAACCGTAGTAACCTTGGCATTGGGGTTCGCTGTCTTCGACGGATCGTGGAGCCGCTTGCCCACCGCATCCACATGGGAGTACAGCAATGGCGTACCGCGGAACTCGTAGCGGAGGACTTGTTCGGGATTATGGCCGAGACGGGTAGAGAAGCGGATGAACGCCTTGTCGAGCTCGGATTCAAAGGTATCTTTGAGCTCCGCTGCGCCACCATTGGGACCCTCTTCTTCTGTGTTGTCGATGGTCACGTTGGCGGGGATAGTGGGTGTGGGGGGGCGCGACATGGCCTCGTATTCGGCATCGAGGTAGAAGTTTGTGTAAGGGGTGGGGAAGTCGGATTGGGCGGGCCAGGGGGTGTTGGGGGTGGTGGAGGCTTCGGGGGGTGGGATGAGGTTTGTTTTGGGCTGTTGTTGTTGAGAGGAGATGCGGACTTTGTCAGCGAAGGATTCGGAGAGAGTAGGTGCAGGAGAGGGGGTGGGTTTGGTGGCGAGGCCGGGGGAGGGCGCTGGGGCTGCGAATGGGTTGTTGTTGGTGCTGGTGGAAGAAGCGCCGGCGGAGAAGGGGTTTGCGCTGGCGGAGACGCTGCCGGTGAGAGTGGAAGAACCGAATAGGCTGGCTCCGAGGTCTGGCTTTGGTGCGGCGGGCTTCTTCTCTTCTTCTTCTTCTTTTTCCTTCTCTTTGTTCGAGGGTTCTGGCTTTTGTTCTTCCTTTTGGCGGGAAGGCTGGTGTTGGGGCTCGATCTTCAGCTTTCTGACGGCGCGCAGGGCCCGGATACTGCCTGGTTTGCGGTTGCAGGCTTTGCGCGGACAGGAGAAGATGTAGAGACGGCGTTCATCGTCGGGGAAGTCGTTGGGGAGGTCACCGTGCAGCTCGAGGAGGAGGAGCATGGGCTGGTTGCAGACTTTGCATTTGGCGAAGTCGCCCGGAGGCGGGGTAGCGTCGTCGAGCCAGGTCTGTGAGGGGTATTTTGTTAGTCGGACTGGGGCAAAAGGGGATGAAGAGTTGAATTGGATATAGTACGTACCGGCCAGCCTCCCAGGTGACTGATGGTGTCTTCTACAATCTCGTCGGCGGCGTAACCCAGCAGCACGTTGGTCTCGCTGAAGTCCCCCTCATCGTCGAAGGAGGAGTCGCTGTCGTAGGGATCCATGGTGCTGTTGCTGGTATGGTCAAGGAAGATAATGTATAAGAGTCAATTCGAAAATCAGTGGGTAAGACCAAGAACAATGAAATCCTTGTCCTGACGCAGAAGAGGTTGCGATGGAGTTTATCACCAGAAGAGCGCGTCTTTCTTTTCTGCCCGAAATTCTGGCGCAAAAAAAGAGGGAATGCCCCAAATGGGAAAAGCCCCATCGGCGATAGCCCCAGAATGCACTAGTCCTGATATAGGCTAGTGCAGTAACTGTGGTATCGATACATACCCGTGTGATACGTCAGTCAATACATCTCCAGCATCTCGCCATCGACCGTCACTTCCTCTTCGTTTCATCTCCATCTTCATTTCATCTTCACTTATCCCTATCTCGGATAATTATAGATCTGCTTCGTCTGGGAAATCCTTATAAAAGAGGTTATAGAGCAAGCTCTTTTGCACGCGAGCCTCTGAGCATGAGCACCGTTGCTTCTTCGAGCTCCTGCATCTGACGATCGTAACGTCCACTAGTGTGGAAGCATTGCTTCACTAAATAAGCAATTCATCAATTTGAGCACTCATGCATCGCTCATCTCTTTCATATTTCCTTCAGTTTATTCTTCATATTCATGTAGTATACTACGTCTTAGCGTTATGCCTTCCCCCACATGCCAATGCCACCGAACAGCAACCCCTGGGCTCATTTGGAGTCACACCACCCAAGAGGGTCGCCGTGATCGGTGAGATCATTCCCATCGTCCGCTCATCTGCCATTGACATCAATTAACCCCTTCAATAGGAGCGGGGGCTGCGGGGTCTAGCACTGCTTATTCACTACGCAAGTATGCGGATGCCTTGCACATCCCCCTCAATATAACGGTCTTCGAACGCTCCCCATATGTTGGCGGCCGTTCCACAACAGTGAATGTCCATGACAATCCAGCTACACCCGTAGAGCTAGGTGCGTCGATCTTCGTGGAGGCCAACCATCATCTTGTCAACGCATCCAAAGAGCTGGGACTTCACGTTAACAGCGCCAATCATGACCGACCCAGAGAGACCGAAGACACCCTTGGCGTCTGGGACGGCGAGCAGTTCGTCTTCGTGATGAAGGAAGCATCGTCCTGGTGGAACATTGCGAAGCTGGTTTGGAGGTACGGGTGGACACCCGTGAGAACCTATCGCTTAATGAAATCGACCGTCAACAACTTCCTCAAACTCTACGACGAGCCCATATTCCCTTTTTCATCCCTTACATCCGCTTCAGAAGCAGTAGGGTTGGTCAATATAACTGCCGTTCCTGGAGAGGCTTTCCTCCAGCAGAACCAGGTATCCGCCAAGTTCTCCCGTGAAGTTATCCAAGCTAGTACCCGCGTCAACTACGGACAGAACCTTGCTCTGATTCATGGCCTCGAGACCATGGTCTGCATGGCAACTGAAGGTGCCATGGCCGTGGAGGGAGGCAACTGGCTGATCTTCGATGGAATGCTCAAATTGTCTCACGCCGACGTCCGCTTAAACCACACAGTGACATCCCTCGATTGGGACGCCAACGGCCCCTCAACCCTAACCTTCAACACGAACACCAACTCCGAAGAGAAGCTCGAGTTCGATGAGGTTGTCATCGCCGGTCCATGGCAATTCTCCAACATCACCGTTACCCCACCACTAAAGAAGACGCCGGATGAGATCCCCTTCGTGACACTCTACGTCACCCTCTTCGCCTCCCCGCACCGTCTCTCACCTAAATACTTTGGCCTCACAGAACCCAATGCCTACACCCCGGAGACAATCCTCACCACCCTCCCTCCGGACAGCGACATCGGAAAGAGCGAAGCCGGAGTCGGCCCAGCTGGCTTCTGGAGCATCAGCACTCTCCGGACCGTGGACGCTCCAGACCCATCAGAAGGGAAACACTACGTGTACAAGATATTCTCCCCGGAACGGCCAACAGCCGAATTCATTGAATCGATTCTCGGCCTGGAGCACAAGTCATCTTCTAACACCGACACTGAAACTGACACTTCCATCGGCGATCTCTCCAAGCGAGACATCAGCTGGTTCCATGAGAAGATCTGGCGGCCGTATCCGTTCGAATATCCACGGGTCACGTTTGAAGAGCCGCTTCTTGCCCCTCATGTCTGGTATACGGGCGGAATTGAAAGCTTCATCTCTACAATGGAGACAAGTGCATTGATGGGGAGGAATGTAGCTGCTTTGATGTCTCGAGAGTGGCAGGTTTAGGTTGAAGAGGGGGAGGGAGAGTCGGCAGCGGATTCGGTTCGTCATGAGCTATAAAGGGGACGGGAAGGAATGGAGAATGGGAAATTGGCAGGACTTTTCCTAGTATCAAGTCATCTGTTCTCGTGCCGCGCTGTCGGTGCAGGTTTTAATGGCATGGCGATATATGGCACTTATGATGACCATATAATATAATTGTCTAGAGTATATAGTATTCACTAATGCATTGAGAATGAAGTCGAAGTCCCGGGAATATTTACACATAACTCTACAAATACTCATTGGACGGCTGTTGTCTCATGGAACTTATTATCTTTCTATTTCAGTTCATAATACCTATTTACTAGGTAAGTAATACTCAACCAGGCGTACCAAGCCTCCATGCAACCACGAACTTTTCCTGCCCTGTTGAAGAAGTGTTGAAGAAGCCATCCCGGTGCTATTTGTTCATTCACATGCTCAATGCATATCCATATCCCATGACCCGCGTAAGGTTGAAAAAGCAGACCTGTATAAAACCCCTTAGAACGCACAGCCCACAATCCGTTTTTGCTCGCAATGATGTTGAACTCGTAACCTAACAAGATAAAAAACAAAGGAATAAAAGAAAAGGAGAATAAAAGAAGATAGAATGTTATGGTATCATATCAAAAGTTCACCCGGCTATAACTAGCTTAGACGGGGAGGGGGAAGGTGCTGGCCCAGTCAGCAACCTCCTTGCGGAGGCTGAGGATCTCAGGGACGGTCTCGGAGGCAACCTTGGCCTTGAAGTCCTTGAGCTTGTTGGCCTCCTTGGGGAGCTCGCTCTGGACCTTCTTGCAGAGGTTGATGGACTGGTCAATGTAGCGGGCAATGCGCTTGAAGTCCTCCTCACCCATACCACGGGTGGTCATGGCGGGGGCACCGATACGGATACCGCAGGGGGTCAGAGCAGACTTGTCACCAGGGATGGAGTTCTTGTTGCAAGCAATGTTGATCTGCTCGAGGACAGCCTCGACACGAGCACCGTCCAGGCTCTTGTTGCGGAGGTCGACAAGGACCATGTGGCTGTCAGTGCCGTCAGAGACAAGCTTGTGGCCGAGGGTCTTGAACTCCTCCTCGAGAGCCTTGGCGTTCTTGATGACCTGCTCCTGGTACTGCTTGAACTCGGGGGAAGCAGCCTGCTTAAGGGCAACAGCCAGAGCAGTGATGGTGTGGTTGTGGGGACCACCCTGGTGACCAGGGAAGACGGAGAAGTTGATGGGGCCCTCAAGGTCATACATGATGTCCTTGCCGGTCTTGGGGTCAGTGCTGCGGACACCCTTGCGGAAGAAGATCATGGCACCACGGGGACCACGGAGGGACTTGTGGGTGGTGGTGGTGACAACATCGGCGTACTCGAAGGGAGAGGGGATGACACCGGCGGCAATCAGACCGGAGATGTGAGCCATGTCGACAATGAGGTAGGCGCCGACCTTGTCAGCGATCTTGCGCATGCGAGCGTAGTCGATCAGGCGGCAGTAGGCGGAGGTACCAGCAACCAAGCACTTGGGGCGGTAGAGCTCGGCGTTGGCCTCGAGTTGATCGTAGTCAATGATACCGGTCTCAAGGTTGACACGGTAGGGGAAGGTCTCGAAGTAGGTAGAGACAGCAGAGATCCTGTGGAGTGTAAGGTTAGCATCCAATGTTGATGTCTCATGTTGTCGGGAGGCAAATCCGCAAAACTTACTTCTTGGCGGGAGTCTGGTAACCGTGACTCAAGTGACCACCGTGGGGGAGGTCAAGACCCATGAGACGGTCGTGAGGGCGCATGAGAGCCTGGTAGACCTGCAGGTTGGCAGGGCTACCACTGAGGCACTGAACGTTGACGCCCCACTTGGCGGGGTCAAGGTTGAAAGCCTTGAGGGCACGAGCCTGGCAGGTAAGCTCGATAGCATCGATGTGCTGGTTGCCACCGTAGTAGCGAGCACCGGGGTAACCCTCGGAGTACTTGTTGCTCATGGGGGAACCCAGAGCATCGAAGACAGCGTGGGAGGTGAAGTTCTCCGAGGCGATCAGGACGATGGATTCGCGCTGACGTTGGATTTCCTTCTCCTGTAATCGGGCAGTTAGTACCATGACACCACATCTGATTCAAGAAGAAAACAGTGGAAAACGTACCATGATCTGGGCGATCTCAGGATCGCTGTCCACAAGGGACACCTCCATTTGCTACATCGATGAGTCAGTGAGTGCTGCTGCGAGGACACCCCAGATGGAAAAAAGTGCAGTGGGGTACTTACGTTCCGGTGAGCCGGAGAGAGAGCGTAGGTAGCCATTGTGTAGAGGGATGTGTGAGGAAAGGGGGGGTTAGAGGAGGAAAGAGGGAAGAATGAGATGAAAGTTGAGGATGAAGAAAAGGAAGAAGAAGAGGGAAGAAGGGGAGGATTAAGAGGGAAGAAGAGGAAAAGCTAGGGATGGGGTGGGGGAGGGAAAAAAAGATTGCCTCAGGACCCAAGAAAGACGGAACGTGAGTCTTACACCCCGCCGCCTGTGCTCTAAACCCGAGCTAAGCCCCATCGGGCCCCGGGGGGACGACATCGGAGCCCGGCCACTCCTTCACCGGCTCGGGGAAATTATTTGGCGCTTCCTCGTCTCCATTACTCAATGACTACAGTAAAGTATATCTCATCCTGTCCCAGCAGCAACAGACCACCATATGCAAGAAGCAATTGATTTGACTGATATATCAGGTGTCATGGCTGGCTAGAATACAGTATGACAAGAATCAATCTAGTAAATTTTCCCTCAATCTCGGAATCCCGACCGGGATGCCACTAAGTGGCTGAAGGCGACAGAGAGGCAGGAAAAAGTCAATCCACTAGCCTACCAGCCCAGCTCCGATTGGTGCCGCTGGTCGATCAGCACCGGTCGACTGAAGCTACCATCCCCAATGAAACACGAGGGGCCTCGATCTACATCTGGAGGGCTGATGAGTTGTCAAGATTTTCAAAGAACAGAATATAATACAATATGAATCAGGTCTCGGTGTTGTTGAGGTTATGTTGCGTATGAGGGACATAAGTGTTGTAGTCATTCTGCAGAATGAGCTTCATCTCTTCTGAACTGATGATAATCCTACTATAGTAATGAGTCATAGCATATATCCACTCCACTATTATTTCGTAGCTTCTACTTTTAGATCGCCATCCGTATCACAGTGCGGCCAATACAAATCCTGCTCCACCATAGATCTTCCAATTCTCATAGCAAGTGTGGCCTCTCGGGATGCTCGCACCTTGTGATGGGGACCGTGGTGGCGCTGGAGGGGTCAAAGCAGCTTGCGAACAGTCCCCCACCTGAGAGACACCATCAGAGAAGTTCTGCTGGAAAACTGGGAGATTTTGCAGACATTAAGACTTGTTCCTTTCTTAATGATCACAGGCAATTTGGACAAGCCATAGCTCATGAACTCGATAGCACGGGTAATGGAAAGACAGCAGAATCCCAAATAAAGCTCTCCCCATAAGAGCATCTGTGTCCCTGCAGGTTACAATCACCTATGCGATACCAGGAGCCGCATACACTGACCAATCTATGGCTCCTCCAACCTATGCTTTATCCGCAGATTGAGTGATGATGAGTTAAGCGAAGCTAGTGACCTGCTCAACTGGGATCTAATCCGGTGTGCTGTTCCCTAAACCCTTAACCCGGCAGAATCGCAGTGTATGATGCATCCCAAGCTCGATAAAGGTTGCTCTTCACCCTCGGGGTTGCGGAGGGATCCCAGGAGATTCTTCTCAGAGCCTTGCTGTGGGTTTGACGCGATCAACGTGCTCGATCGAGGGTAGTTGACATTAACCCCTTTACACATTCAGTCATATCATCTTCCGCGCACACCCTCAAGGTCCCTGGGACTTGAGCTTCTTAGCACCCCCTGGGCTTGCCATCTGGCCAAAGTCGGCGATGACCGACTTGAGCTTTGCAATGCGGTCCTCCAGCTCCTCAATTTCCTCTTCCTGGTCGGCAACCGACCGATCTACGTCGGGTAGGTTTTCCACCACGGCTTGTGCCTTCTGAATCCGAATTTTGATCGAGCTGACCTCTGTCGGAAGGTCCTTGATATCGAGCGCTGGAGATGTACTTGAGCCCAAGCCGGATATTTCTGCACCACCTGGACCAGCTGAAGGTACTGTCCCCAGAACTCCAGCAGTGTTGGCGTTTTCGGCCCCCGCTTGTTGTTGCGATTGAGGTTGGCCGGGGGTACCTGAAGGTGGTCCTGTAGGAGCACCAGCTCCGGTAGGGTCATCGGCCGCTCTCACACCATTGGATACGCCAGCAGCGTTCGTTGGCGGCGATAAAAGACGTGAAAGGAGGCCATGCAACGGCGGAACAATGTCGAAGGTCTGTGGAGAAGGGAAGGGGACGGCTTGGGGGGTTGCGGGGGCGTCTTTGACCATCGGGGTCTCGGGCGCGACGGATGATTTTGGTAGGGGAGTCACCGCCGTGGGGGATCGGGACGCCATCGCGGGAAGGGCAATACCGCGGACCAGACACACGACGAAAAAGGAAGAAGAAGAGACAAAAAGTCGAAGTATCAGAGCAGGCGGCTCACGTGGGGAAATGGAATAGCCTCGTTTCGCGGGGGAAGCTGGGTAATTGTTTAGGGAAGAGCCGGGGAAGCCGGACGAGAACGGGAGGGAGAGGAAAGTCGGAGAAAAAGAGACTAAAGAAGGGAGTGGAAGTGGAAGGTGACGTCGGGGCGGAGCGAAAACAAAACAAGTCCCAAAGCGTCACCGAAAGCCAAAGTGTGGTGCCCCTCCCCCTCCTCTCTATTACTATTACTGTTACTACGCTGGTCTTGCGATTGTTCTTCACCGGCCAGCCTTTTCGTGACTCCACCTATCAATTCTCCTTCTCCTTCTTCTATCCTTCTTCTCTCCTATCTTTCTTCTTCTTCCTTCTTTCACTTCTTCTCCTTTTCCACCCATTTTCTTGCTCTTGAATCTCTTCCCCACTTTTGGTGAGTGCTTCCCGAGCCCATCCCGCTCTATCCCCGGACTTCATTTTGCGCTGAAAATGTAAATTGCTTTGGCTAACATATGCACTCCAACAAGTTAGAGCACAGAGTATATAGCAAAAATGGTCAAGGTTGATCAAAAGGTCGCCCTCAGTAAGTTGTATATGCCAGCTAACTTTCTGTCGCCCATCAATCCACTGATATCCTGCTGTCTAGTCGTCATCGATGGCTGGGGTGTCGCCGGTCCCAACTCCCCCAAGGACGGCGACGCTATCGCTGCCGCTGAGACTCCCTTCATGTCCGGCTTCGCCGAGGCCGACTCGAAGACTGCTCAGGGTTACACCGAACTCGATGCCTCCTCCCTCGCTGTCGGTCTGCCGGAGGGTCTCATGGGCAACAGTGAGGTCGGTCACTTGAACATTGGTGCTGGCCGTGTCGTTTGGCAGGACAGTGTCCGCATTGACCAGACCCTCAAGAAGGGCGAGCTGGGCAAGGTGGACAACATCGTCGCTTCCTTCAAGCGCGCCAAGGAGGGTAACGGCCGTCTGCACCTGTTGGGTCTGGTCTCGGACGGTGGTGTCCACTCCAACATCACCCACCTGGTCGGTCTGCTGAAGGTCGCCAAGGAGATGGAGATTCCTCAGGTCTTCATCCACTTCTTCGGCGATGGCCGTGACACCGAGCCCAAGAGCGCTACCAAGTACATGCAGCAACTGCTCGACCAGGCCAAGGAGATCGGTGTTGGTGAGATCGCTACCGTTGTCGGACGTTACTGGGCTATGGACCGCGACAAGCGCTGGGACCGGGTTGAGATCGCCATGAAGGGTATTGTCTCCGGCGAGGGTGAGGAGAGCTCTGACCCCGTCAAGACCATCAATGAGCGCTATGAGAAGAAGGAGACCGATGAGTTCCTGAAGCCCATCATTGTTGGCGGCAAGGACAGACGTGTGCAGGGTATGTTTTGTTTCCTTTGCTCAATGATGAAGGTGCTGACCTGCGATAATAGATGGCGACACTCTCTTCTTCTTCAACTACCGTTCCGACCGTGTCCGTGAGATCACTCAGCTGCTGGGTGACTACGACCGCTCTCCCAAGCCCGAATTCCCTTACCCCAAGGACATCCACATCACCACCATGACCCGGTACAAGACCGACTACACTTTCCCTGTTGCCTTCCCTCCCCAGCACATGGGTAACGTGTTGGCCGAGTGGCTGGGCAAGAAGGATGTTAAGCAGTGCCACGTTGCTGAGACTGAGAAGTACGCTCACGTTACTTTCTTCTTCAACGGTGGTGTTGAGAAGCAGTTCCCCGGCGAGGTCCGCGACATGATCCCGTCTCCCAAGGTTGCCACCTATGACCTCGAGCCCAAGATGAGCGCTGCCGCCGTGGGTGACAAGATGGCCGAGCGCCTTGGCGAGGACAACTTCGAGTTTGTCATGAACAACTTTGCTCCCCCCGATATGGTTGGTCACACCGGTGTTTACGAGGCTGCCATCCAGGGTGTTGCTGCCACCGACAAGGCCATCGGTGTCATCTACGAGGCCTGCAAGAAGCACGGCTACATCCTGTTCATCACCGCCGACCATGGGTAAGTTTCGCCTCCGACACGTTTGCGCAAGACCTTCTCACTGACATTGGTTTCCTCTTCCCAATAGAAACGCTGAGGAGATGCTTACCGAGAAGGGCACCCCCAAGACCTCCCACACCACCAACAAGGTTCCCTTCGTCATGGCCAACGCCCCCGAGGGCTGGAGCCTCAAGAAGGAGGAGGGTGTTCTGGGAGATGTTGCTCCCACCGTCCTGGCCGCCATGGGCATCGAGCAGCCCGAGGAGATGTCCGGCCGCAGCCTTTTGGTTAAGGCATAGATTTAGCGTATAGAGTAGATGTCATGTATTGTCTGGATACGATTCCATTGATGAAGAAATGAATTATTACGGTGTCTATACTGGGGTTTAGCTTTGGAGCGAGATAGAACAAGATTTTGTTTATTTTCAATTTCTCCCATCCTCTTATACAAGCGTACTTCCGATTGGACCTTGAGAAGTACATCGTATCTCGATCAGCCACAGCACCCACACAGGGTAGGCGTCACACTTCGGTCGATCAACAGCCCGATCGACTACGTATCCGTATAGTCTTCTGAGAATATCCGCAACGATCATTAACAAGGGTATCTAGAACCTCTCAACCTCGTAGTGCCGGGCCAGGATTGGCCACCGCACAAAGTAGCTCTGCGCTGCCGTCGGTGCTTGTTCTTCTTCTTCTTCTCGCACGACCTCCAAGGCGACGTGCATCATCGCCTTCGAGGACCGGTCAGGTACCTTGGCTGCTCTTTCACATCCGCCATCACCAGCAATTCTATATCTCCTCGCGTGATAAAGGTGGTCACTGTCTTCCACCCATAGTACTGATAATAGCAATCCGTCTACACTCAAGCAGAAGCCGCCGCCGCCGCTTGTTGCATCTGAGTCTGGAACTGAACGATCTGCATCACGATTGTCAGACCGGTGGCCGAAAGCATGCCTATTATCATGATATTCAGAAAACTCACCTCAGTGCGCTTCTTATCAGACTTGTCCTGGTTCTCCTGGATCTGTCCCTCAATGCGCTTGCTATAATAATCACATCACGTCAGTCACAGCTCCCACCCAATGAGGAAGTGGGGAGAGGGGTAACGGTAACTGAAACGTACATTTCCTTCTCAATGAACTCAAGACGTCCATTGACAGCCATCAAGGCCTCACTCTTCTCCTGCTTCAGCAAGACCGGTCCGATCAACTTGTAGATGTTGGACTCGTCATCGAGGGAGTTGAATTCCTTCTGAACGCCGACGTTCTCCTGTTGCTGGGATTCGAGCTTCTGGCGCGCTTCGACGAGACCGTCAAGCTCTATTTAAAACAAGCATCAGCATTCGTTACACGCTTATAACCACCAATGGTGCGCATAGCATATCCACAGCACCAAGCTAGCTGGAAAAGATAGATGACACTTGCATGCCTATGCTCATGCCCCCCCTCCCCGAACAGGAAAACAACTCATGGAATACCAACATACCAGTCTGCAAGGCCTGAAACTCCTCAGTAAGCGCCTGCATTTGCTTTTGTGCGTCCGCCATGATGCTGTGTGATAAAGCCCTATTTAGCCCGTGATCGTGTGTGCCGATGTGGTGATTGATGGTCGTCGGGGAAATGGGTTATCTATCGGAGGGGCAAAATGGGAAGCGGAGCGGCAGAAAACCAACCAAAGACGGTAAACAAGACCGTCTGCCCGCCTTTTCGGTGTCTCTCTCTCTCTCTCTCTCTTGTCACTCGTGCCCTTCCTCCATTCCTAACTATTTTCTCTTGAATGTCCTCCTTTACCATTCTATCCTGATTAAGGACCTTCTCAACTCCCCCTTGGAAGAAGTGTCTATTTGCTAAGAATTACTCATATACGTCATTGTTTGTTCCGTGTTCCGGTGCAATCGAGTCCCCGTCTCCTTCTTGCGCCCGCAGAGACACAGACTAGTTAGTACTAAGTAGTACTCCAGACGGACGGACGAAACCAGGCAGGCTTCCGTCGTCATTCGCTCCCCGCCTTCGAAACAGTCCAGCCAGCCAGCCCTGCTTGCTTCCTATTCCTGCGATCATTCCGTAACGACACTTCGATCCTTTTCATTTTCACACCATGAGTAATACCGACTTCCTAGGGAGGGCGATTGACACCGTCAAGAAGGCCATCGAGCACGACAATGAGGGCGAATACGAGAAGGCTTATCAGCTGTACTACTCGGCGCTGGAGCTGTTCATGCTGGCACTGAAATGGGAGAAGAACCCCAAGTCCAAGGAGATGATCCGCGCAAAGGCGGGCGAGTACATGGATCGTGCGGAGAAACTCAAGAACCATCTCGCTACTCTAGATAATCGAAAAAAGCCGAGTGCGGTGGGCGCTAACGGCAAGGTGGCGCAGGGGAGTGGGAAGGGAGGGTATGTACATGTCTGCCGACATCGCCTTGCGATCGGTTCTGGCACAGAGAGCATTGTGTGCTGACACTACTTGTTTGGTGAATTAGAAACCAGGACGAAGATGGCGAGGACGCCGACTCGAAGAAGCTACGGTCCGCCCTTGCTGGGGCGATCTTGTCGGATAAACCCAACGTGCAGTGGGAGGATGTTGCCGGTCTGGAGAGTGCAAAGGAGGCATTGAAGGAAGCGGTCATTCTACCTATCAAGTTCCCACACCTCTTCACGGGGAAACGTCAACCGTGGAAGGGTATCCTGCTGTATGGGCCCCCGGGTACGGGAAAGTCCTATCTCGCCAAGGCTGTTGCGACGGAGGCGAACAGCACGTTCTTCAGTGTCAGTAGTAGTGACTTGGTGTCGAAGTGGATGGGTGAGAGTGAAAGGTATGACTACATTAGGGATCGTATGTCGCCACATGCCGGCTCCTAGAGCTAACATACCCACCTCTACAGACTCGTGAAGCAGCTCTTCAACATGGCCCGAGAAAACAAGCCGGCGATTATCTTCATTGACGAAGTCGACGCTCTCTGCGGTCCTCGTGGAGAAGGTGAATCGGAGGCATCTCGTCGTATCAAGACGGAATTGCTCGTTCAGATGGACGGTGTCGGCAAGGACTCAAAGGGTGTTCTGATCCTCGGCGCAACAAACATTCCCTGGCAACTAGATGCGGCCATTCGTCGTCGATTCCAACGTCGAGTCCACATCAGTCTCCCCGATATCAATGCGCGAATGAAGATGTTCATGCTGGCCGTCGGCTCCACACCCTGCGAACTGACGCAAGCCGACTACCGAACCCTGGCAGAGATGAGCGAAGGCTACTCCGGTAGCGATATCAGTATTGCTGTCCAGGATGCGCTGATGCAACCCATCCGCAAGATCCAAACAGCAACGCACTACAAGAAGGTGAGCCCGCTTCCCACCATTGATCCATACAAAAGAGAAGAGCATCCCACTAACCACGAAAATAGGTCATCCTCGACGGCGCCGAAAAGCTAACCCCCTGCTCACCGGGCGATCAAGGCGCAATGGAAATGTCATGGACCACCGTAGAAGCCGACCAACTGCTGGAACCCCCGCTTGTCCTGAAAGACTTCATCAAGGCGGTCCGCAACTCCCGACCAACCGTCAGTCAAGAAGACCTGCAACGAAACTCCGAATGGACCAAGGAATTCGGCAGCGAGGGTGCTTAATCCAACCCTTCATCCTACTGTTCACACATCCATCTTCTCTCCATCTAGAAGAAGACAAACGAGTCCATCCGTCCTCCCTCTCGTTGTGTCTCATCACGACCAGATAGAATCAACCAGGCTCCCATTAAGTCAAGCCTTCGTTCTCATCCGTCCCTACAGAGTTTCTCCTTCCCATCCTAATAATGGCTCGATGAACATGAGTTGGCATGCATGCTTGGGTCTCAGGTTGCTCAATTGGAATGAACGAACGAACGAAAGAAAAGAAAAGAACAATCCACGACCCCACGCACACAAACCTTACACCATCGAAATGCTTCCTACGACTTTTTCCCCATCATCTTATTTTATTCTTTATCTCTCTTATCTTATTCCTCTCACCTTCATCTCGGTGTTAGGCAAACTCTGTTTTTTATCATTGTGCAGCAAGGCGAGGCGTTAAATCTAAAGTCCACTGTTTTCTTTTATTTCTCTTTCTGTTTACTTAACTACATGACGAGCTCGGTGTGGAATGAAATGAATGTTGGCTGGAAACATAATCCTTACGTTATGTGCGTATAGACTAAGTAGCCTTTGTGGTGGTCTTTATCTATTGTTTATCTGGAGGTTATTGACCGAAAACACACCCACTACTGGTAGACAATAACCATAGAATCAAAGTTAGGCTCAGACATATCTCATTAACCATTCAATCTAACCATCCAGAACCAACATAACTAAGAATAAGAGTATGTGTGTGAGGGACCTAATGTCCCTGGGGTGCAACTACACAAACACAAAAGTGGGTAGCTAGTAGGTACAGTACCAACGACAATTCCTTTCACAATCCAACCTAGGAGAGGACAACGCCTTAAGACACATCCATCAAAAACGCCGGGGAATCTTCTCAACGAACCCAAAAGGAAATGCAAAATCATTGGAAAACAATGGGGGATAGCCCCAGTCAACGGAAAAGAGGGAAGGGAGGAAGAAAGAGAGAGGCTCGACATTAGAAGGTCCGAGAGGGCGATCAGGATTTACTGTATGAAGCGTCTCGCCTCTTCAGCACCTCGTTCTTCGCCCGTCTGAGACCCTCACCAAGCTTCTTCGTCTTCTTCCAGTCTTGGCACATCCTTTGCATGCGGACGACGGCCCTGACCATGGAGACGGCAGTCTTCAACTTGGATTGGGGAGTGCGGGTCTTGTTGCGGTCACGGGATTTGACGCCCATGTCGGAGATCATGCGGAGATCAGCTTCGTTGCTGTTGGAAGGGGGATGTTAGCTAAACCATTATACTGAAAGGGTAGTTGTATAGATGAGGGAACTAACCAGGCAACCCGAACACGCTCGCCAAGTTCCATCAAGCCCTTACTCCAAGCCAGGTCACGGCGGAACTTCTCCTCACGCTTCAGTCGCGCACGAAGCCAGATGATTTCCTTGCCTAGACCGAGCATCTCCTTCTCATGCCTTGTCTTACTGCTCTCGCTCTTTGTCCCCATCTTCTCCACAAGATGGTCATATCGTTCTTGCAGGGCTTCCAGCTCCTTTAATGCCGATTCAGCTTTTCTAGCACAGAATGAACGCTCATCACGGATCCTGCGCATTTGCGCCTTGAGCTCGGCCATACGGGCCTCTCGCTCTGACACCTTGAGCGCGAGCGATTCAGCCTCCAGAGTCGATGATTTGAGTAGCTCATGAAGATCACGCTGGTCTTCTTCTCTCATTGCGGCTCTTTCAAGATCGCGATTCTTCGATTTGACCTCCCGTAGCGTTCGGTGTGCCTCAGACAGCTGTTTCCGTAGGTTCCGGAGCTCATCATGGAGTT